TACCAGATACAATAAAGAGGGCCAGCATTCGATAAAGAGATATATCAATACTGTAACTTGTTGGCGGTGGGTGGTGATGACTAGCTGCCTTCCCTCTAGTCGTACACTGCTAAATTAGGGACGGCTAGCGCAGATAGCCCTCGTGTAGCTTTGCGCGAAATTCAAAAAACAAACAAGCAAACAGGACGAAAAAAGGTTATCAACAAACTGAACATTAATAAGTCACCACTGGCTGAGCATGCTGTCAACAGTGCACGTGAAATTATGTGGGACAAAGTCAAAATTATTCATACAGTAAAAAATGTTAGATAATATTTATATATATAATTCAAAATAAAAAAATATAGTACTAAACAGAGATCTTGGGACGGGAAGTAAAAATATCCAGTTCTAGAAATCTATTTTGTATAGGTAATTTGAGTTTACTTTCAATGATATTTATAATTTCTGTAAAAAATGACTGTTTTATCTTGTTTTGGTTTTAATTTATAAATTATATACACATATTATGGTTTTGTGAGTTTTAGGAACGGTTCTAAATAGAGATATAGTCGTTGGGATAATTAGTATTGGAGAAAGTTAATATAATAATACTATTATTTAAATTAAGACAATTTTATTTATTTGCTCACAATAACGGGTTCTGAGACCAGAGGGCGCTGTTTTCATACCCGAAGTAGGTTGTCTTGGACGGCTGGATATGATTTCAGACAAAGTTAATTTTTACGTACTAGATTTGATTCCCAGCTATATTTTAGAAAGCATTCAGGTCAGACGTGACTTGATATATCTACTTTGGATTTAGGTTTAGGGTTAGCATTCTTCTCTCTAGCTTTATGTCAGGCATTCTTTCTATATGTTGTTCTTATAAGCAGCCATCGTGATAAATAAACTGTGCACTATTACGTAACGAAGGAAAAAAAAACACGGTATATATATCAGTAAGACTGACGAAACGAATTTAACCAATGAGTAATCAAGAATACTGGTTGTCTTGGTTATCATTACATTAAGCTAAATCAATGTTCGCCGTGAAAGTTGAACATACTCCGAGTCACAGTAAAATCTGCCATCTACTAGAAAAGAGGACAGAATTGGCGTCTGTCCTACTACACTTATTGGAAAACGCCTGTTCTTGTATCGTTTCAGTCGAACCGTCCTGATGGGACTTTGTCTAAACAGTGTTTACCTACCTACCTATCCGAAGAAGGCCATGAGAAAGGAGATAAAAAACAAACAAAAAAGCTAGTACTTGAAGAAATGAACGCGAATCGTTGTATTTATACATTGGTAATGACTTGTACGTGATTGCACATTTTAAGAAACTATTAAACGTGTTAATTCTGCAGCAAATGGCAATATATCATTGTCGAATGTTAAAGATAAATTTATAGGCATTTAATTACACCCTCCTACCCGGGTATTGTTTTGCATCCTTCAGTGCGCACGCGACCCGAGCAGGTTGGGTCTGGTGTGACGTGGTTGGGAGGACACTGCCCGCATGTACCGGTATGTATCAGACGTTTTCCCGCAGACAGAGACAGACGACCTCGCGGAGCCAGCAGCTTGTTTGTACCGTGCGGACAAAGCGGCCGGGTAGACTAAATGCAGACAGACGAAGCTGATAAAAACTTAGCCCAGGAGTGTCGGCTGCGGTCAGGCAGAATGTGAGTGAGTTTGAAGTTGGTTGTACTGGGAACGGGACGAAAGTCCAAGAAAGCTATTGCAAAACTTGCCAGTTTCGTCATTCTATTTGTAATTGTACCTACTTCTAATAACGTAAAACTGTGGACCGACATTGTGAGTTACATAAAACGCAAAAGATAATGAATTTAATTTTAGTGAATGGGCGATAGGATGTTATTTTGATTTTATAGGAAGCAACAGTTGTGCAGAAAACAACAACAACAACAAAAAAACAATAGAGTACATTTCAAGGCCACAGGTTTCTCGAACCAAGCACAGAAAATACGTTTCTTTAAATATTTTTCTCCACTGTTTGTGGAAACAGTAATTGTAATGCTTAAACGGAACGATAGCCGTACTAATGATACAGAAATTCGATTACTAAGGGGAATCCGTGACTCCAATAATAGGTTAATTGCCTTTCCAAGATCTTGAAACGGCTGGCTCCCTCCCCGTATATTTGGTCTGACACTATCTTACCAGCTTCTGTTCGGCCACGGCCCTGAGACGACGTAGACTTCACTCTCGGCTTGAATGTGAGGTCGAACCAGTCATCAGTAAGAACGTTAGAATATTGATACTAAAAGAATTCAAGCAGAAGAATAACAAACCGGTCACCTGCAGAAGAAGAAGAAGCGTTCTGGTAACAGGCTGTTTCATTTTTAGGTAAGATATATTAAAATATACTGGGAGAGAAAAAAAAACAGCAAGAGACGATTAAATCTAATACAGAATAATAAAAATACAGAAAGCAAAACGATTAGGGTTAGCAAGAAACGAACTAAAACATAATGCACACGCATGTGACATCTAGCGGCACTTCTATTGCTGTACAAAAAGAAAAACTATTTTGAAAAAACAATGAAAAAATATCTCGAAACTTAAATAAAGAAAACGAATTCCGCCGGTAAATATTCAAAATATAATACTGAATTATTTTTTGGGCGTTTGGTTTAATTTAAATGATGTAGAATTAATTATGCCTTCCCCCATACTTAGGGAAACGTATCGTATTTCCCCTATTTCGTTTTTCTTTGGAACAATTAAAATGGTGCTCCATTCCTTTAATTTTAGGCCAATCATCTTGAAACTTGGGGGGGGGGGGGGCATATATCTAAGTCCAATACACCATAGTGACACAAGTATTTTATTGTTTTGATTTAGGCTCCCGTTCTGATTTTATGGAATTATAATTTATAGGTCAAAAATTAGAAAAATGTGTATTTTCGTCGTAGTTCCGTTACATATCTATTAATACAAAGGATACTTTGAAAAACGATATTTTGTAACGATTTCTACAGATGACAATATGTTGATTTTGGATTTGCGCCCTTATTTTGGTTTTATAGGGGTAAGAAAAAAAATAACAACTCAAAATCAGTGTTCTTTGCCCTGGCCTGCTATTTCTTAATATTTCGACCAATTAAGATGAGACTTTGGAAAAAGATACCTTATGGCAATCCCCATAGGCAAATGTGAGATTTATAGGAATCAAAGTTCAACAAAAACTTGTAATAGGAAGCTGTAAGCTTAGCAACCTTCTCTGTTTATATAAGTGTTTCAAGGGGTTGTTATCAATAGTGTTTTTAGTCACATGATGCCTGAAATTGCATATAATGTACCCAAGAATAGGTCATATTTGCCGAAAATTTAACTGTAGAGTTTTGTCATTGTGAATAGATGTAGTTACTTAGAAACTGACTGTTTTATATATTATAATTTAGTATGAACAATACATCAATCGACAAAGTTGATACTATATTAAGTGTCTATCATATGTGATGTAGTTTATACTCTCTTCCTTTACCTAGAATACCATTTTATTTAGAAATATACTAACCTGAAGATTTTGTAGAATAAGGTGGAGGGGGAATCCGGGAGAAGACATACTGCATTCTTTGCGAATGTTGGACTTTCTAGTATAAATATAATATATTTATGTTGACAAAAGCAAGCCAACTTTGGCGGCTCTGTGATGCTTGTACCCACTTGTGCTAATATAGTAATTAATATTTAGGTTAATACTAGACAACCGTGACCGTTGGGTCAACCACTATTCAGAGGTTATGAAGAATTCAAGCTAATTTCAATATTGCACCGAAATGAAGGTTTATTTTGAGATAATTTAATTAAATATTTCAATTATTCGTGTTATTCATAATTCAAGAAAATATATTTGATTGATGATCGGGAGTAAAAGAAAAGACCATTCCATTTTTCAAAAAGTGAAGTAAGAAGTTTCGTAAAGAGCGCGAACGGTTGTGTGAATGATTTTTTGACTGAGAAAATAAGCAAACAAACAAACAAACAATCTCAGAGTTTAGTATTATATAGATAGATTCTTTAAGATCTTGTTTGTGTCATCTTACGCCTTTTAATGAAGATGGGAACATTGACAGGGAAATAATATAATAGCCAATGCTCGGCGAGAGATTTTCGTTTATAAACTTTTGTTGTTGTTGTTCTCGGCTTGATTTTTATTTTATTACCTCGTCTCCATAGTTACTATTTGCAAATAGTCAATAATATTGTAGGTTCATTTTATTGTTGTTCTTTCTATGCTCCGTTATAACACATTTTCATCTCATCATTTAATTTCTGTCGTGCATATATTGTTGTATAGAATATATTTTAAAGTTATTCATGAGGTGGAAAACAAAGTTTTATAATAATGGAATGTACAAAAAGTGACCCGAAAAACGGCGTTAACTCTGTAACCCGTGGCCCGATTTTAACGAAACTTGTTTTATTCTGTTTCTATTCTCATTTCATTACACATATGGCGGTATTGTGCGCCGTTTTTGCTGTATTTAATTACAGACAAGCAAACAAACAATCTCAGAGTTTTAGTTGTATATAGATTATTCGATGAATACGCCACGAATTCATTTCATGAATGATCTTAATTTTGATTGGCTCACAAAGGAATTTACCGACGTTTGACTGCTCTACTGCACTTTTCTGCCTCTTTATTGGTCAAGCTTGATTTCGCAAAATTTATTTATTTCAGTTTGCTATCAAATGTGAGGTTAGGGTATACAATGGGTTGGGGTGGGGATAGTAGTACTTGCCCCGTCATTTTTGACGGGCTATACGCTATACCTTCTTCTTGTACATACGGTCTTTATAATACTTCATCAGTAATTGTATTTTATTTTTAAAAATAAGTATCGATAAAGTAAAAGTTAATCTAAAAGCTACAGTTTCCAATAGATCTAAGTCATTTTACTCTTGAAGAAAATTTCGTGAAACCTCTATACTCTACTTGTTCAATCCTTCATTCTCTATTTATGATTCATTAATCATAATCATTGAAAGTAACGCCTCCTGTATTTAGTATTTTTGTGCTTTTTTAATGGCGTTAATTGATTGACTTCAGTCTTAATATAAATATTATAATTAAAAATACTGCGTCATTTATATGAATCACCACCTGAATCTTAAAAAGAAAAAGTCTTTTCTGTGGTCATATATAACATTTAAATGACACAATCAAGTATATAGTTTTACTTACACGAATTTCTATTTGAATTAAACATAAAATAAAGTCAGCAGTCCAAAAGGAATAACACTTCTCTATGGTCATTCTGTAAGACTAAAATAGCATAAGAAAGTGTTGAATGACTTAATTAATATTCGAATTAATATATATATATATATATATATGGTCGTTACGTGATACTTAAATGACGAATTAAAATGTAGTAGGCGACGTAAATTAATTTCCATTTTAATTTTTTTTTAAAAGTAAGAACAACAGTTCAGTTATCCATGGCCATATTTAACGTCTCAGTGGCGAGATGCAAGTCGACTAGTTGTGCCAAGATTACAGTTTCTCTTTGCTGAAACTGTCCATTTTATTCTTCCGTAATGCTACCTTAGATAATCCGAAGAGGCTAAACCTGTACTTAAAACCTTATTCTTGTAGACACGGTCTTTATCAAGCAAAAAATCTTGAAAGAATCTGGGAGGTTGGGAATAAAGAAAATAATGAGGTAAGTTTATTAGTGTATTTTTTTTTCTACATGATGTTACACCCACGTGAAAGCCTCACTTTTAAAACTACATTAAACGTCATTTACAAAAGAAAATAACATTCATCTGTGGTTAGGCTTAATGGCCTCACCTAAGTAAGACTACTGAAACATTAAAGCGATGGTTCTCGCATTGTTAAAACGCGGTTTAACATGTAAATTAAATATAGGCGGGAAGGTTGAAAATTATACAAATTTATATTTGATGACAAAATTACAGTTGTTAGAAATGTCAAGTATCATCGTGTTTATTTTTTATTTATTTTTTTTTAAACAGCACATAATAGTTAGGCAACTTTCAGTAATACCGTTTCTTAATTTAAAAAAATAGCAACTGAATTACTTGCAACGGCCATGGTAAGACAAGGTTCATACACAGATTTTAGGGTGGGACGGTGTTCATTATGTCTCTGTAAACTGCTTTTTAATGAAAATTTTTACGATATTAGTCACCTTTGTTTCGTAATGTTTTTTATTAGCCATTTTATAAAAACTTGCTAAGATATTTAAACACTTTGTATTTTTATATATTGCTTTTAGTGAAAATTGTTAAGATATTAAACATTTCCTTAGATTTGTAATCTTTCTTATGTTTTGATAAACTTTTTATTGCAAACAACAAAACTATTTCTTGATTAATTCTTAATATTTCCTAAAATGCTATTGATAAAAGAAAATCCTAAATATTAAAATGTTCTTTTATCACCACTTGCATGATAAACATATAACGAAAGGTGTAAAAACCACCATAGAAGACTAGGTGTGGTTGGCGTGCCAGGCTGCGGAGCGGGAAGTCCAAGGTTTGAGGATGTGGAGGTGTTATAAATGTGGAAGTCAGTTCTATTACCTGATTAAAAGTAGTCACATGCTAGGGAGAGCAACCACTCCGCAGCTCTAGATTAAGGGGGGGGGGGCTGTGTCTAACATTTAGAGGTCCTTGATCTGGGTGTTTATCCTGTAGCTAATATGTTGCATAGTTTACTAAAGTATTGGTGTTTCTCTAAGCCTGGTTTTTTAGTCTTCACCTTTTTTTATTCTTAGAGTATTGGTATATGTATCATCCAATTAATTAACACTACCTGATTTGTAAATATCTCTTTAAGGTTCTTTCGCTGTGCATATTCAGTTTAAAATGTTACATTTCAAAATACTGTTACAACGTGTTCTTTCGTGGGGCGGATTTATATTATTTCGTGAAAATCATTCGAATTCTAGTCGACGTAAGGATAACAAAATAGTTTTATTTCTTTTTTACGTTTTTACAGGCTACCTTCACTTTTAGGCTGTTGTAACTTATTCTTGGCGTAAGTTTACAAATGATGCTCAAATGGAAATATCTCGTTAATGGTACCACACTAACGTAAAAATAAGCCTACTTGTACAATTTCACATTAATCGATCGAGCAGGTAAATATATGCGATAACTAACACTGATCCAAATACTTCACTGAAAACAAAACTCTGACTAATTCACCGCTGTCTAAAAATAAAAAAAAAACTGGTTGTGTGAAAATACCGTGGTTGACTGGTTTACTCGTACTTATAATCTAC